CTGATTTCTGGTGATAGGTAAGTTCTACGTCTAAATACCACACATGCTTAAGGATGAAGTTCGTTAAGGTGATACGATTATTACTGTGGAAAGAGTTTCTGATCAGCTTCAAAATTTGTGATTTAAGCGGCAGAATACTCAATTTCGTGCGGTATATACACTGGCTCGTTCGCTCCTTTTGCAGTTTTGTTGCTGACATTGAGAGTGGTGTGGCGTAGCAGAGTTACGAACTGGATGATTCCATTGGTGTTCTAACTGATCGAAATACAGCTGTCTCACACGTTCTTCGGGAGTCACGTCGACCACATTAAAGTGTTTCGATACACATCGGTCGATACCCAATAAGTGCACCAACGACTGCCGTAAATGTGCATTGAAACGTCCCATAGAATAAATCAGCACAACCGTGAATAGTGGTAAAATTGAGTACTAAATCAAATATTCATCTTTATTTAGATGGAATTGAACACTAGCACAATGCATGCCAGCATTTTTGACGTTGCATTAACATCAAGGAATGTTTCTAGCGGTTTCTTCGATATGTCCCGAAGAATTCGCTGTATAATTCCCCACTCATTTCGAAATCAGATATTCAGGGAACCTATATGAACTTGAATAATCCCGAATCTGCTCTGTGAATATGTTCTGTGAACAATACAAATAAAATTTTCAATAGTGCTGGTCGATAATAATTTCGGTAAGTTGAACTAAATGATGTTTTGATCCATTGAAATCGCTTTGATATGTGTTTAAGAAGAAATTGATGCTTTACGGTTACCTGCATCTCGGCGAATAGACTGTATTGAACAACCTTCCGCATGTAATCATCGATGTGCGAGTAGAATTCGTTGTCTGGTAGCAGAATAACATAGAGAAGCGTGATAGAAGCCATGAACAAAGCATTCAGCAACACCACTGGTGCCATTAACTTTGTAGTGGCGATATTCTCTCGAATCTGATATCGTATACTAAGAACATTCTCGTTGGGACACTGTTCCACCTGAAAGTATTGCTATCCAAGATCTATTTCACGTACTCTTGGTTGACTCTTTTCTGCATTACCACAAAATTGTACTGTTTCATTTCAACATCTTAAGATTTAAATAAATCACGAATGAGATCAATGAACGGATAAGAGACATTGTTTTGTCCCAGCTATAATTCATTTTGCTGTAATTGTAAACTGTCCCAGCTGTCATTCATTGTTGTAGTTGCAACCTGTTCTTCTTAAAACGAAGAACAATAAAACCGAATGAGGTATGACAATGTAGGTGAAATCAATGCATCAACTTACTAAGGAGTTTTGCTCTTAAGCGAACGGTTTAATATGACGAATACAATTCGAAAAATAGCAAATTTCATTTTTTTAAAACTGAAGAGCGAACTTTTTTTTTTTAAAGCTGAAGAGGTTGAAGAGTGAGCATAAATTTACTTCCAATGAATAAATGAGCCGAACTTACCGTTCGATTATGATTATGACACCAAAGGACGACAAAAATGATTATCGCACAACATTGTATCACAATTTGAACATATTCAATGCTTTTCGACAGCGCTGGATCGTACAACTCAATGGCGCAATACGGCAGTATCATTCCGTTATCACGATTCTCCCAGTAGAATATTGGCAACGTAAATGTCCACTATAAAGAGAAACAGCTATCTTCGTTTCACATAAATTCTCCAACTCCTCATAGAATCTCAGGTCTCATTTCACATTTTTATGCTCCACAAACATACCGGCTACAGTGTCATCGTTTCCATTTGGTGACTGCCAGTTTACATTCACTTAATTTGCTTCAAAAGATCTTTCCATCATAGCTGTGAAATATTTCTAATCCTATGATACACTGCCACTCAGCTGGGTCTTAAAATGTTCACTGAGATTTGCATAAATCAAATCAACCAGTACGAATCATAAATTAGTTGCAGATGGTGAATAATGCATAGCAAAACTGCAGTAATCACTCGACCTGTATTACAGCAATGAGTATACCGATCCACTGTTTCTGATGTTTTTCATATGTTCGATAGAGAAGTGTGGCAATGATTCGTTCAATGGACAGGAACAGCGTCGAAGTCAGCAACACTGTCACACCAACGTTGTAGACGTTTCGTAGAGCTGCAATAAAAATACTCCTCTCATTATCTTCATCTTTGTATTCTTCACTTTGAGCTCATAAACAATGCGCAGCTGTAATCCTTATCAATAATCTTAGGAAGTAATGAAACTTCTCATATGGTTCTCATGAAAGGGATATCACAGGTGGTTTTGACGAAAAATTGTCCTTTAGCAATTTTTTAAATAAAAATTGTCTTTTCCATTTACGTAATGACTTTAACAAAAAATTGTCCTTTAACAATTTTTTAGCAACAATTGTCCTTTCCATCTAAATAATGGAACAGGCATCTCAATCTTTTTGAAAACTATTTCAACAATTTCTCAAA